GCTCCCCCACCAGTGCACGAGTTTACCTCTAGAGGTCATCAGGCAGGATTTACGACTGGACAACAAAAGCACGTGATGTGAAGCCGTACCCCATATTTGGGTGCCTACGTAGGAGGGAACCAAGTACATGTCCCAGTCATTTCCATAATTCATCATAAATTGTGCAAGGGTGCTATAGACGCACAAAACGACCAAGAGCCACAAATCAAGCACACATATCAAAAAACAAATGAGCTCTTATTTTGTAAACTCATTTTGCGGTCGCTATCCAAATGGCCCGGACTACCAGTTACATAATTATGGAGATCACAGCTCGGTGAGCGAGCAATACAGGGACTCCGCCAGCATGCACTCCGGCAGGTACGGATACGGCTAATGGCATGGACCTCAGCGTTGGGCGCTCTGCTTCCACCCACTTTGGTGCCAATGAGAGACCCCGCAGTTACCCGGCCAACACCACCTCTGCCTCGACAGAGCCCAGGTACAACCAGCCCGCCGCGGCTTCCCACTCGAATGGCATGGACCTCAGCGTTGGGCGCTCTGCTTCCACCCACTTTGGTGCCAATGAGAGACCCCGCAGTTACCCGGCCAACACCACCTCTGCCTCGACAGAGCCCAGGTACAACCAGCCCGCCGCGGCTTCCCACTCGCCTCCCCCTGACCCTCTGCCCTGCACCGCCGTGGCCGGTTCGCCTGTCAGCGAGAGTCACCACGGGGTGAAAAACTCCCTCGCCAACTCCACCAGCACTTCGTCCAATTCCAGCAGCAACACGCACATCAGCAGAGACGGGGTTGGCACCTCGTCTGGGACTGAGGAAGACACTCCAGCAAGCAGCGAGCAGGCAAGTGCCCCGACCGACCAAAGCACAGCCCAGCCTTCACAGCCCCAGATCTACCCCTGGATGCGAAAACTGCACATAAGTCATGGTAAAGCAAATACCCTGTTCTTTCTTTATTTCTCTGGAGGAAAAGGAGGATTTAATGCAAAACGGGTGGCCGCGCCGAGCAAGGTCGGGGAGAGGGGGAGAGGAGGGTGTGAGAGCGGGCAGCCTCGGCGCACAGCACACCTCTGCTCGCAGGGAAGCCAGCTCCCTTCTCTGGGCGAGTTCCCCCACCCCCCCAAAAAAAAGGGGGGGAAAAAAACCAAACCCGCCCGGCCTCAAAAACACAGCCCGCCTGGGTCCCAGCTCTGACCACGGCGGGCATCGGGGAAGCAAAAAGCGTCTTCCCGAAGGGGGATCGGGAGCTGAGGTTGCTCCCGGCTCTCCTCTAAAAGGGGGATCCTCCAGTGGGAACGGCGCGGCTGACCCCATTTATTTTCCCAAGCCATATTAAAAAGAGAATAGGAGAGGGCGAGAAGGGCAGTTTTCACTGCTGGGAAGCCGTGGGGGATGGGAGGAGAGGCGAGTAGCCCCAAACTCCGGGGGAGCAGGCTTGAGGGGTGCGAGGGAGCGGAGCAACTTGCAGCCCCGGGTACCTACCCTTCCCTCTCTGCTGGGAGAGCAGCCGGAGGCTCGCTGCCTCCCAGAGCCTTCCCCAGCTCAGCCGTGGGAAAGGGCTGCACGACTGAGCTTTGCTCTCCTAGTCCTGTAAAGCCAGCGAGCAGCAGAGGCATCCTCCAAACCAGTTTATCTGGAGGAGGCGTGTGCGTGTGTGTGTGTGTGTGTGTGTGTTGAAGGGGGTTAGCCTTCAAAAAAATAAGTAAAATAAAATTCAATTAAAAAAAAAATTAATCCCAAATCCGAGCGAAAACTTACCGAGACCACCAAATCCCCCTCCTCCAAGCCTTTCCTAAAAGAAGCTGGAGGGGGAAACTTGTTGAGCGTTTATCCAAGCCAGAAACAAAACCAGGCAGGACTGAGCATAACGGTCCTGGTCGCTGGCAGCTGCAATGAGACACGAAGGCTCCGAGTGGCTGCTGAGAATCCTAAATCCTGTACTTTTCTCTTCCAGACAACATAGGGGGACCAGAAGGGAAAAGGGCTCGGACTGCTTACACCCGCTATCAGACCTTGGAGCTGGAAAAGGAATTTCACTTCAATAGATACCTGACCCGCAGAAGAAGGATTGAAATAGCACATGCTCTTTGCCTCTCAGAGAGACAAATAAAGATCTGGTTCCAAAACAGGAGAATGAAATGGAAAAAGGATAATAAGCTGAAAAGTATGAGCATGGCAGCTGCAGGAGGGGCATTCCGTCCCTAAGCGTTTGATCAATTAAAAGTACTGAGCAGTATTAGCTGACCCTGCGTCTCATGTCAGTACTAAGTTGACTTTCTAAAACTTCCTTGTGTTACTTCTGTGAAGAAACCCTGTTCTTGTCGCCCTTTTTCATCTTTTAATCATGAGCCTGTTTATTACCATTCTCTCGCGTGTATAAGTAGATCTGCTTTTATCGTACATTTCTTTGTCTTGAATGGCTTTGTCTTGAAAAAAATAATAGATGTTTTAACTTATTTATATGAAGCGAGCTGTGTTACTTGAAGTAACTGTTAAAACAAAACTAAACTAAACAAAAAAAAAGATCAAAAAAAAGGAGGTGAAAAAAAGGAGAGAGAGAAAGAAATCCTCCCCTGGTTTAGTACAAATGTTATGTGTTGCACTCAACCTGCTTAACTGTGCATGTGTGGTCAAGTGTTAATGTCTGTATAGCTCCAAGCTGTTAAAAATATTTTTATTCAAACTACCTATATAATTCCTGTGTAATTAATGCTGTTGTAGAGGTGAAATGATGACATCAACTGAACTTGTCCTACGTGTAGTGAATAGTGAATCTGTGACGAAAACTGTGATTCCAAGCAGTATGTCCTTGCTGTGCCTTTGTATATGACTCTTTGCACGAACTCTTAGAAGTGGCTCTTATTAAGCGCAGCTTCTGTGATGTATGTTTTTTGTGAACAAAGTTACAAATATAGTCAAAGTCTGGCTGTTTGAGCAAACTGTGATCAGCTTTTTTTTTTGTATTTGTTTTTAAAAAAAACTGACTGGAAATAACAAAAAAATAAACTTTCTATTGTAAAGTTTTCGTGATCTGGTTTGTGCAAAGCAAGAAGTTGTGCTTCCTGATTTGCCTCTGAAAAAAAAAAATTAACCCGTGCAGAGCTTTTTATAATATTTTACCTGGCTGCTACTGCACGTTGCAAATGGTAGATGCTGCAGTTGTCCGCTACCAGTATTTTTAATTGAAAGTTTGACCATAAGTTTCTCCTTACTGGTTTCTCGCTAGGTGGAAAGCTGTATCGCAGGACCATAATCAACACCCTTTGTGGGTGAATCAACTGTTAGATGTTTGCTGATGGTTGGGGAAAAAAAAAAAAAAGTAGTGCTTTGTTAAAACACGCTGCTAACTCCTAGGCGTGTTTGCATCTCTCTAGAATTTCTCCTGTGATTTAATTAAGTAAATTTGCGGGACAGCCACGTCCGAGCCCTCTGCGTCTATTAGTAACCCTCAGCTAGCCACATTCCCACTTTTCACCCTTTAAAGATTTTTGGTTTTCTTCGCTACAATTAGTTTGCTATAAACGCAATGTTACTTACCCCATCAGAGCTTGAATGGTTAACTCTTCTGAGCTTCTAAGAGCAACTAAAGATTTGCACATTTACTGACTGGTTACATTGATGTCTTCCCTTAAAAGTTATAAAACAGTAAACTTTATAAGCCCCAGTTCCGGCTATATGACATTTGGGTGCCAAATGAATAGGGTTTTGTCTATGAATTAGATCGTAAAATCATCCATAGCACAGACAGATAGGCTCACTGGCTATAAAAAGTCACGTGGTGCCATTAAAGTAAGTTTTATGGTTTTGGGGAGTTGACATCCAACATTATATACCACATAACGTATAATCTCACTGACGCTGGACTTCATTTGACTCTTTTGCAGGCTACGTGTGCCTCCTGGCCATTCAAATTGTCAGGTTTAGGGACAGAAGTATCCAAACCACAAGTTCTCAATACTGTATGAAAAATGGCTCCCTGCAAGTCAAAGGTAAGTTTTCGTGCACTAGTTCCTTGAAGTTTATTTGTACAGTGGGGAAGCCGAGGCTCCTGCTCGCTCTCGCTGCCTCTCACCTCTCTCTTTCTCTTTCTCTTTCTCTTTCTCTTTCTCTTTCTCTTTCTCTCTCCGTCTGGAGCTCCTAAGACAGTCCCACCGAGCCCGAGAGGCAGGATCAACTACTAATGATCCAGGTTGCTGCAAATCCCCCCTATCCCTTCACTCGCAGCAGCTAGCTCTCGATTTTAACGATCAAATCAAAGTAAACCACAATAAGCGACTTTGGCAGAGATGGATTTTGGGGCCTAGCTTTAATCACTTTGACTACCGCAGAAGATAATTACTTCCTTTGCTCCAATAGACTCTCCAAGTTTGGAGAGGTTTTGTTTAGTAAAGAGTAGTTACTGCAGACGATTAAAAAAGTGGAAACAAAATTAATAGGGCTTGATATTATCTGGGCAGTGTCTTATGTAGGCATGATAGAGTTGGAGGCGTGCTGATATGGTAATAATCTGTGAATTGGTGAAATATGTTGCACATCAGAGCAAGTATTAAAATGGCATAGACTGTACTGGAGCGCTTAAGATGCCTATTTTCTGCATTGAGTTGTGCAGAAAGCTTTGGCTGTGTGTATATGTCCAACTGTGAGTGTGTATTGTGTTTCGGCGATGTGCGTTTATAATATTGATGTAACTTTTTCAAGATCCTAGATTTAATTCTATAAATATAAATGTATCTAAATTACGTACATGTGTGCATGCATGTACAGATCAACATATAAGCTTGTATAAAGCCATGCATATTCATATGTGTGTCTAATATCAACACGTTTATGTACACAAAGGGTGTGTACGCATGTATGCATATATACGTTCCTGTTACTTTTTTTTTTTTAGCGAACCAATTGACTGTAACTTGTAGCATTAATACAAGAGACTACAGATCATTAGAGTGCTGCAAATTATGAAATACGGGCTTGGTTTATTGAAGACTGTAAATATCCTTCTATCTCTGCTCTCTCCTACTCTGCCTTATATTGCTGGCTGCCATTGTGGGGTAGGCCCCAGCTGCGTGTTTACTTCAACATTCTTTTTATTTAAGTGGACTGTTCTCACTAGAGTGTGATTACTCAGCAATAAACTTTATGGCCGGATTTAACTTTAGGCTTTGAATTTCCAGGACTTGAATGAAAGGGTGAAAGGAACTCTGTCTTTCTCTGAGTTAGCATTAAGGCCTGATCCTTACCCTCAGAGCTGTTACTTAGGCAAGTGATTTCGTGGGGGTGCAGACCAACTAGTCGGGTGTAACAGATGAGATTTCAGAATTGCCTAAAAAAAAAAATTAAAAAAATCTCCAAACGTGCTGTGGGTATCTCTTTCTCTGCTCAGGTTTGGAGTAGCAAGGATTGCATTGTATTCCTTCATGTGCCATAAAGGCGGGTTTGCAAAAGAACGAGGTGGTTTGATGTGAGTGAGAGATGGGCATTGTTTTATTTCGCTGGTGCTATCCCCTTTGAATATTGCGGTTTAGGCTGTATCTCCTACTGCGAGCAGAAATTAGAGAAAGGCACAGGGGTACAGAAGGGTAAGGTTATTGTGTACCTCTGCAAGGTCTGCACATTGTTGACTGATTCCTATTTTTAATTTATTTGCCTTTAACGTTAAAGAAATGGCAGTATATAAAGTTGGCTTAGCTCAAAGATGTCACACTTTTACAAATATTTAATATTTAGAGTCAACTCCCTGTGTAAGATAAATGGAGTGTGAAGCCTTTGTGTTTGTATATCCTTCCTATGAACACTAAACAAACACATATACATATACTTTATATTAAAAATTGGGAAAGGCTTAAAGTCTTTTAGAAGTTCATATCCAAATGCACATTTGAAAATAATTTCTGTAATAAACAGCTGGAGATTTTATACCATGCTAGCTGTCACATTTTCGTCAATAGGAATACCAGAAAGTTATATATGATAGGTGTGTATTCTATTATATTATATGCTCTAAAATTTTGTAGTTAGAGGCAAAGGCATGAAAATCCTGTAAAAGTTTGGACTTCATTTATACAAGTGTCCTTTTCCAAGGAAAATCCTTCACTTGTAAACGGGAATGATACTAGACACAAACCATTCACGCCTACTCAGTATTCAACAACACTGCGTTATTTTAATTATCTGGCGAATATACAAACAGGCACACAGCTCATCCGTCTAATATTTTAGAAACCTGGATATCATCACGGATTGTGCTTCTTCATTGTCTAGAGTGAAAAGATTTGGTACTACATATTTACACATTTTTTAATGTGGCTTCTGGAGCATATTCCATGTAAAGCAGTCTACAGACATTCAATAACTACGGAAAAGAAAAATATTCTCAGACCCACAAGCATGTAAATCCGGCCGTACCTCAAGAAACTCCCTAAAGACAAAAGAAAGTTAGCTAGAAATTACAACTTCTACGTATTTCTGGCCCTGCCCTGTCCTAAGCAGGACAGTTTAAGCCATTCAAATCCAGAAAAGCATTGAGATTTTCTAACCCGCTTTGAAGTTCAAACAACCCCAGACTGCCGAACTCTTCCAAAATATTCCTAGGTCCTAATTGTTTTTCGAGGAAAGATGTCATAGAGAATAATCGCTGGGAATCAAGGGAGAGGTCTTATCTGGGGACATTATTTTTCTGCTGTGTTTGGGGGGGTTAATGCATGCGAGTTTGTTTCACTTTAGGCATGGCAAATGCCGTTCTGCACTTTGAAATATAGTTTACCTAATCGTTTGAAAGAAATGCTTGAGTGTAGTGTTTCATGTCTAAGTGTAAGGCCAATTAAAGATTAGGCAGCTCTTTTAATGTGTGTAACTAGTGACTTTGCAAGGAATAACTTTCTCTAAACCAGAAGTATTACAATCCGGTGGAAAGTCATCCGTAAATTACAGCTCTGCAGCTTCGCCTGAGCCCTGCAAATGCCCTAATTGCAGAACATTACAGGAAAATTATTATTCTGCCATTTCCTTACATTTAATAAGTGTGTATCTGTGGAAGGGTGACAATAGAGGAGTATGCAATCTGCTCCATGGGAAATTGAATGGAACAGATCATGAGGGGCGGATCGGGAGGTTTCGATTTCAAACCCTGGATACTGTAGCAATGCCTTTTCCCTCCCCACAAATACAGATTTAACTTATTAAATGCAGGCATAAGTAAACCTCTTTCAAGTTAAGACACTGCTTCGCTTTCTTAGCTCTTTCTCTTTCCTACCCTTAAAAATCTCCCTGATTTGTTGCTAGAGTTGCTACCCAGAGCACAAAAAACACAGCAACCACAGCCGCCTCATCATCTTCGAAAATATTATCCCTTTCAAATTAAAGCATCCTCACTAATGTCTCTCTGGAAGGCAAATACTCATGTACCATCGCAGTCACATGTTCCTGTAGCTACACGGACAAACGGTATCAAATCTGACATAGAAAGCATGTAAAATTTGCAAGGATTTCGCCTTATAGCACGCATAAGGAATCTTTCCTATATCCCCTTCCCCCCCAAAAATGTCTTTTCAATAATAATATTTGCTATGAAGGTTATTGGGTAATTATTGCAATTTTGTGGAACAGTCCTTGCTTGAGGTGAAGTCTGTCTCTGGATAACAAATGGCAGCCCGTGCAGTTCACTGCCAGGTTAAGTAAATGCAGAAAAGATAAATCTGCAC